GTGGGAAAGGCAGAAAAGGGAAAGGAAGGAGAGTAGTAGCTGAAGAGCAAGAGGAGGACATGGAGATGAAGAAGAAGATTAACCTGGAGTTAAGGAACAGAGCCCCGGAGGAGGTGAGATGACTCAGCCCCCACCCCTTCCCCATCAGTCCTGTGTTCTGAGGATCGGGTTTCTGGTGGTCCCGGTGGATGTGCGGGGTTGGAGGAATAAGTTAGCCCCCACCCCCAGGGGCTAGGGTTGGGGACATGTTTAATTTTAAGTTTTAAATCATTAAAATCTTCTACTTAAAATGGCGAAGGGTTCAAGTTTCTAGGGGCGTTTTTGTGTGTGCATGGGGGCTTAGCTCCATTTGGCTTTCATCGAGTCGGCGTCCGGGCCTCGTGGGGGCGGGAAGCGGGCCGGTGGGGGCGCTCCGCCGCTTGGCTCCCGGCGTTCCTCCTCCCGGGGCCGGCGGCGTGGGCGCACCCCCGGTCCCACTCGGCCCCTGCCGCAGCCATCGGCGCCTGAGAAGTTAGTCCAACTTTTCTGCAGTGCGGCCAACTCATCTTTTTTGGGGGTGGGCTCCCCCGGCCTCGAGGCCCTGGGCGTCCGATGCCGCGCCGGTCGCGGGCTGGGGTCGCTGGCGGGGTCCGCGCGCGGTCTGCTCCGGCGGCGCCCACTCCTTGGGGAAGCCGCGCGCGCCGTCCGCCGCCCTCCGCCCGGCGGAATCTGGGTCAGCGGCAGGTTCTCCGACCGCGGGCGAGTTTCGGGACTCGTCGCAGTGACCGGAGGTGGGGAGGGGACGGGAGGTGTAATCCGCTTCTTCCCCCGCCATGCAACGATATTTGGCACGTCGTGTGGCCGCAACTCTGAATTTGATCCCTGGAGACGGTTTCACAAAACTCAGCGTAAAGGGACGTGGTAGTTTCGTGCTTTAAAGATGGGTTCGGCGAAACGGAATGATGCGCTCTCACTGCTGTCGCCTTAGTTAAAGAGACGGGGTTGGGAGGGGCCACGCGAGGCGGGGTCGCGGTCAACTTTTCTGGGGTCCGGCGGGAGGTGTTTCCGCCTCGTTTTCGCGGTTGCCTCCTGGGCCTCACCTACCCGGGGCGAGCGCGGGAGGGCAGTGCGAGCTGGGAGGCGACCCCTTTTCCCTTGGGGAGTCTCCGCCCCGTGTGGGGTTTCCCGTCAGCCGGAGCGGCAGGTCGCGAGAGCGGGGCGGGTGGCCAGCGGGGAGGCTCGCGGAGGAAACAGCAGTCTTGCTGAAATAAGCTCTAGAATTGGAATATGGGGGAGTTGTCTAGGGCTGGACCGACAGATCGATAGGATATAACTGGGGTGGTGTCTGTGCAGACCCGCAGAGAAAATGAGCAAGGTCTGAGCTTTCACGTGCGGAGTGGGAACTCAGACTTTTAAATTTTTTTTATTTTTAGGTCCCTGTTTTCCTGAAATTGGCAGGTGCCAGGGAGGGGATACAGTTGCTTACTATCAGGGTCATCCCGGAGAGAACTTGTTTCTAGAGCTTATTGTTAGAGGCTTCAGGAAAAGAACAAACTTAAACTTTAAAAGCTGTCTCTCAGAAGCACACGTTTGAATACTTTTTGGTGGCTTGGGTTGGAAAATTGGCCACCCCACCCTGCCAGGATTCTTTCCCTTAGTGATTGTAGTATTTTCTTTGCCAGTTTTGGGGTGTTCAGGACGTTGCCTTTCTTCAGCTGCTTCCGCTCTGTTGTAATAACGGTCTCTTACATTTGTGTAGACAGTTTACAAAGCACTTTTCCCGTTTGTTATTGACTTTCCTCCTTACTTGTAAGGTGGATTGTGTTGTAGAATCCAAATTAGCAGATGGAGTCTCAGGGTGGTGAAATGATTTACACAAGTGGAGGAACTGGTTTTCTGACACCAAATGTAGTAGCCCCCACCCCTCAGCTAAGCAGGGAGTGGAGTCAGAAGACTGAACCAGTACACAGCCCTGCCGCAAACCAACTATAAGCCCAGGCAAGTCATTCTTGACCTCTGGACCATAGTTTCCTCCTTTCCAAAACGGAGCTCAAGATGCTCTGTCTGACCACAGAAATAATTTTGTCAGAGTCATATTCAAATAGAGAAGGTGGCATTCCTTGTTGCTAAATTTTAGCCCTCAGATACCTCAAACAAGTTTTCGCCTTGGGTATAAAGAACTACGAATCTTCAGCCTTTTCGTTAAAGATTAAGTCCATTCAGGCCTACACCAGGAAGTTTGTTACTACAATTCTTACCTAATAGGGAATTCAGCCCCACTTCCTCAGGAATGGGGAAAAGTGCACAGAAATGCTATTATACCAGAGTGGTAGGGAGAAGTAACATTTTGTTAAGAATGTATTGTTCTGGGTGATACTGTTTGGCCTGGATGTGAGAACAAATGACACCCTCTGGGCTGTTCCCAGAGGAGATTTCTAACATTTCTTCATGAAAGGTAAGGAGGTTTTTTTTTTTTGAGTTATGATGGCATTTATCAACCAAAGAGAAGGGGATTTAAACTAAAAAAGTGATTAAACAGTTTCTTCTTCTTCTTTTTTTTTTTTTTTTTTTTGGTGAGACAGAGTCTTGATCTGTAGCCAAAACTGGAGTGCAGTGGCTTGACCTCGGCTCACTGCAACCTCTGCTGCCCAGGTTCAAGCGATTCTCCTGCCTCAGCCTCCTGAATAGCTGGGATTACAGGTGCCTGCCATCATGCCCAGCTGATTTTTTTATTTTTATTTTTATTTATTTATTTTTTTTGAGATGGAGTTTCACTCATGTTACCCAGGCTAGAGTGCAATGGCGCGATCTCGGCTCACCGCAACCTCCGCCTCCTGGGTTCAGGCAATTCTCCTGCCTCAGCCTCCTGAGTAGCTGGGATTACAGGCACGCACCACCATGCCCAGCTAATTTTTTGTATTTTTAGTAGAGACGGGGTTTCACCATGTTGACCAGGATGGTCTCGATCTCTTGACCTCGTGATCCACCCGCCTCGGCCTCCCAAAGTGCTGGGATTACAGGCTTGAGCCACTGCGCCCGGCCTTATTTTTATTTTTATTTTTATTTTTATTTTTTGAGACGGAGTTTCGCTCTTGTTACCCAGGCTGCAGTGCAGTGGCACAATCTCGACTCACCGCAACCTCTGCATCCTGGGTTCAGGCAATTCTCCTGCCTCAGCCTCCTGAGTAGCTGGGATTACAGGCACGCGCCACCATGCCCAGCTAATGTTTTTTATTTTTAGTAGAGACGGGGTTTCACCATGTTGACCAGGATGGTCTCGATCTCTTGACCTCATGATCCACCCGCCTGGGCCTCCCAAAGTGCTGTGATTTTTGTATTTTTAGTAGAGACAGGGTTTCGCTATGTTGGCCAGGCTTGTCTTGAACCTCAAGTGATCTACCTGCCTCTGCCTCATAAAGTGCTGGGATTACAGGTGTGAGCCATCGCACCCTGCCCTCTTTGTAGGTTTTAGGGCAACTCACTTAAATCTTTTCCTGGTAGCTCCGGTGTCCCCTCCTTGCATAAACATATTCCCTGATGTTGAGGGTCCTCTTCATCAGGGTCAGAACAGGTTTCACATGAGAACTTCTTCAAAGTTTGTTTCTTATGCATCAGTGATTTGAAGCAGGTATTGAACTTTAATCCAAGTTTAAATTTAAAAGATGGCTGGGTGCGGTGGCTGATGCCTGTAATCCCAGCACTTTGGGAGGCCGAGGCAGGTGGATCACGAGATCAGAAGATCAAGACCATCCTGGCCAACATGGTGAAACCCCATCTCTACTAAAAATACAAAAAAAATTAGCAGGGCATGGTGGCACGCGCTTGTAGTCCCAGCTACTTGGGAGGCTGAGGCAGAGAATTGCTTGAACCCAGTAGACGGTGTTTTTAGTGAGCCAAAATCGCTCCATTGCACTACAGCCTGGGTGATGGTGCGAGACTCCATCTCAAAAGAAAACATACAAAAAAAGAAATTTAAAAGATTACTTATAGTGATGACTTAAGATTGTATATTAGTTTTGGGGGGAAATGAAAAGGCTCTGTGTAAGGGGATTGATGGGGTTTTGTTGTGTTTTGTCTTGTTTTAACTAATGGGCAATCAAACTGGAGATTGGTGGTTTCCAGAGTGTTAAGACCTAAGTCTATAGCTAAAAAGATTACAAACAAAAGACTCATTAATTAATGTGTTCCCTCTTACAGGTGACAGAGTTAGTCCTTGATAATTGCCTGTGTGTCAATGGGGAAATTGAAGGCCTGAATGATACTTTTAAAGAACTAGAATTTCTGAGTATGGCTAATGTGGAACTAAGTTCACTGGCCCGGCTTCCCAGCTTAAATAAACTTCGAAAAGTAAGTTGGCGTTTACATGAAGCATCATGATGTCAAAGCCATGGCTATTATGTCTAGTGTTTGGCCAAACTGAATGACCATTCTCCTTGCTAATTAGAAGTTTTTAAGTTTCTAGAGATAAGAAAACATTATATAGGACTTTGGGTATCAACTCTAATATTGCTTTTATTCATTCATTCATTCATTCATTCCTTTATTTATTCAAGATGGAGTCTCACTCTGTCACCCAGGCTGATGTGCAGTGGTGTGATCTTGACTCACTGCAACCTCCATTTCCCAAGTTCAAGCAATTCTTCTGTCTCAGCCTCCCAGGTAGCTGGGATTACAGGTGCCTGCCACCAAACCTGACTAATTTTTGTATTTTTAGTAGAGATGGGGTTTCACCATGTTGGCCAGGCTGGTTTTGAACTCCTGACCTTGTGATCCTCCTACCTTGGCATCCCAAAGTGCTGGGATTACAGATGTGAGCCACTGTGCCCGGCCTTATTTATTCATTTATTTTTGAGACAGGGTCTTACTCTGCTGCCCAGGCTGGAGTGCTGTGGTGTGATCTCAGCTCACTGGAACCACTGCCTCCTAGGCTCAAGCATCCTCCCACCTCAGCCTCCCCAGTAGCTGAGACTACAGGCATGTGCCACCACATGTGGCTAATTTTTGTGTTTTTTGTAGTAACAAGGCTTCACCATGCTGTCCAGGCTGGTCTTGAACTCCTTGGCTCAAGTGATTCTCTTGCCTTGGCCTGCCACAGTGCTGGGATTACAGGTGTGACCCACTCTGCCCAGCCTAGAAATTTAAATCTAATGGTGGAATTGCCTTATAACACGAATTTGAATTTAATCAAATATTTTTTTCACATTATGAAATCCAAATGTAGTACAACTAGAATCCAGGCTGGGTTAGGAGCCCATTATGTAGATGTTCTAATACATTATTTGGCAGATATAGATAGAAGTTTGGAAATTAATGATCTATCTGTAGTGATCATTTCTTGAAGCCAGAGAGAATGACTTTTTTTTTTTTTTTTTTGCTTTAAATCGATATACTTTAAAAATCTTTGATATGCCAGGCACGGTGGCTCACGCCTGTAATCCCAGCACTTTGGGAGGCTGAGGCAGGTGGATCACTTGAGGTCAGGAGTTCAAGACTAGCCTGGCCAACTTGGTGAAATCCTGTCTCTACTAAAAATACAAAAATTAGCTGGGCCTGGTGGTGGGAGCTGTAATTCCAGCTACTTGGGAGGCTGAGGCAGGAGAACTGCTTGAACCCAGGAGATGGAGGTTGCAGTGGGTGGAGACTGCACACTGCACTCCAGCCTGGGCGACAGAGCGAGACTCTGCCTCCAAAAAAAAAAAAACTCTGATATGCTACGTTAACTATTCTTTGTTTTCTTCCTGTGTTTAATATATAGTTAGAGCTTAGTGACAATATAATTTCTGGAGGCTTGGAAGTCCTGGCAGAGAAATGTCCAAATCTTACCTACCTCAATCTGAGTGGAAACAAAATAAAAGATCTCAGTACAGTAGAAGCTCTGGTAAGTGGAACGGTTTTGTCTCTGGACTTGCTTTTTCTGGTTAAATTTTCTGAGATTTGTTTGTGTCTTAACTAATTTCTATTTAACTCTTGAAACTTCTGAATTTTTTGTATGTTATGATCTAGGCAGTTACTGCTTTCTTTTCCTTTAGAGCAAAATATGCAGATGAATTTTTAAATCAATGAAAAATTTAACCGTCAACTTTAAGGAGTTGACTATCTGGTTTAAAAATTTCCAGTATTGCCGGGCGCGGTGGCTCACGCTTGTAATCCCAGCACTTTGGGAGGCCGAGGCGGGTGGATCACGAGGTCAAGAGATCGAGACCATCCTGGTCAATATGGTGAAACCCCGTCTCTACTAAAAATACAAAAATTAGCTGGGCATGGTGGCACACGCCTGTAGTCCCAGCTACTCGGGAGGCTGAGGCAGGAGAATTGCTTGAACCCAGGAGGCGGAGGTTGCGGTGAGCCGAGATCGCGCCATTGCACTCCAGCCTGGGTAACAAGAGCGAAACTCCGTCTCAAAAAAAAAAAAAAAAACTTTTCCAGTATTTTTTTTTTTTTTTTACCTCTTATTCCTTTGCCTTCCTTCTTGATTATTTTTTGAGTTATTTTATTATTTACCCCCTTCTTTCTTGGTATGAGGGAAGGAAAAGCAAAAATGACACTTATTGCTCTGATTTTGAAAAAAGATTGGAGGCCGGGTACAGTGGTTTATTACTGTAATCCCAGCACTTTGGGAGGCAGAGGTCGGAGGATCGCTTGAGTCCAGCAGCTTGAGACCCTGTCTCATAGTGAGACCCTGTCTCTACAGAAATAAAAAATAAAAAAAAATTAGCCAAGTGAGCTGGTTGTGATTGATAATAATAGCCCTTAATTATAAAACTCTAAAAAATACAAAAATCATTCTTAATTTCAAATATATATTTTCTGGATCATGAATTGAAAAGAGGCCGGGCGCGGTAACTCAAGCCTGTAATCCCAGCACTTTGGGAGGCCGAGGCAGGTGGATCACGAGGTCAAGAGATCAAGACCATCCTGGTCAACATGGTGAAACCCCGTCTCTACTAAAAAACTACAAAAAATTAGCTGGGCATGGTGGCACGTGCCTGTAGTCCCAGCTACTCAGGAGGCTGAGGCAGGAGAATTGCCTGAACCCAGGAGGCGGAGGTTGTGGTGAGCCGAGATCGCGCCATTGCACTCCAGCCTGGGCAACAAGAGCGAAACTCCGTCTCAAAAAAAAAAAAAGAAAAGAAATAACATAGCCGGGTACGGTGGCCCACGCCTGTAATCCCAGCACTTTTGGAGGCCGAGGTGGCGGATCACGAGGTCAGGAGATTGACACCATCCTGGCCAACGTGGTGAAACCCCGTCTCTGCTGAAAATATAAAAATTAGCTGGGTGTGGTGGCATGTGCCTGTAATCCCAGCTACTCGCGAGGCTGAGGCAGGAGAATCGCTTGAATCCGGGAGGTGGAGGTGGTAGTGAGCTGAGATGGCGCCACTGAACTCTAGCCTGGTGACAGAGCTAGACTCCGTCTCAAAAAAAAAAAAATAAATAAAATGGTATTTTAAATCTTGAATGTAAGTTTTAACTTTACTTTTCCAGCAAAATCTTAAAAATTTGAAAAGTCTTGACCTGTTTAACTGCGAGATCACAAACCTGGAAGATTATAGAGAAAGTATTTTTGAACTGCTGCAGCAAATCACATACTTAGATGGATTTGATCAGGAGGATAATGAAGCACCAGACTCTGAAGAGGAGGATGATGAGGGTAATAATTTTTAATATTCATAAGCGTGTCATAATTGTAGCCTCTGCTCTCGCTGTGCAAATTAGATTGGGCCTGGAAATTTAGGTGTGGGAAAAAAAACCCACAGCAAGATATTAGTAAGACAAGAAAAAATTAACTCATAGCTCTAGCTGATATTTCTTCTTTTAGATTTCCTATAGTTTCAGGGATTTAATGACTATTATAACATGAAGCTCTGTGAAATTTTATATCTGTAGAAAGTTGTACACCCAGTAAAAGTGGCAACCTCTTAAATAGTATGTTTTTAAAAAAAGAACCACTTATAATAGCCAAAAAGTAGAAAGAACCCAAGTGTCTATCAACTGATGAATGAATTTAAAAAATGTGATTTATATAGTGCAATATTATTCCACCATAAATATGACTGATACATGCTACTGATGTACTGAAGCACTGATACATGCTACATGAATGAACGTTCAAGATGTTCTGCTAAGTGAAAGAAGAGAGACACAAAAGGCCACATATTGTTTGACTTCATTTATATTGAAAGTTCATGGGAGGCTGAGGCAGAAGAATTGCTTGAACGCGGGAGGCGGAGGTTGCAGTGAGCTGAGATCGTGCCACTGCACTCTAGCCTGGGTGACAGAGCGAGACTTCGTCTCACAAACAAAACAAACAAACAAACAAATCTATTTGTGATTCAGAATAGGCAGAAGGTTCAGAATAGGCAAATCCATAGAGACAGAAAGTAGATTATTGGTTGCTTGGTGCTGGCGGAGAGGAAAATGGGAGGGTGACTGCTAATAGGTATGGGATTTCTTTTTGAGGTGATGAAAAATATTCTAGAATTAGATTGTGAGTATACATTTTTAGATAAGTGTGATTAACAGATCAGATGACAGAATAGCTGTTAGTAATGGGATACTGCTTGTTATTATCCAGTGAAAAGTTTTTTATTATAAAAAGAAATTGGCCGGGAGTGGTGGCTCACACCTGTAATCCTAGCACTTTGGGAGGCCAATACAGGCGGAGCACAAGGTCAGGAGATTGAGACCATCCTGGCTAACACGGTGAAACCCCGTCTCTACTAAAAATACAAAAAATTAGCTGGGCGTGGTGGCACGTGCATGTAGTCCCAGCTACTTGGGAGGCTGAGGCAGGAGAATCACTTGGACCTGGAGGTGGAGGTTGCAATGAGCTGAGATGGTGCCACTACACTCCAGGCCGGGCAACAGAGTGAGACTCTGTCTCAAAAAAAAGAAGAAAGAAATTTTATGGATAAACAGTGTTATAAAATGATGAAATTATTGATAAGCAGGTGTATTTTTAATATTAGATTAAGGGGGTCCATATGCAAAGTTGTTCTGTGGGTATATTGTATGATGCTGAGGTTTGGTCTTCTACTGAGCCTGTCACATAAATAGTGAACGTGGTGCCTAATAAGTAGTTCTTTAGCCATCCTCCCTCCCCTCTTTTGAAGTTTCCAGTGCCTGATCACAACCTTATGTCTCTGTGTCCCCAGTGTTTAACTCCTGCTTGTAAGTGTGAACATACAGTATTTGTTTTTTTGTTTCTGCATTAATTCACTTAGGATAATGGCCCCCAGCTGTATCTATGTTGCTGCAAAGGACATGATTTCTTTCTTTCTTTCTTTCTTTTTTTTTGAGACGGAGTTTCGCTCTTGTTACCCAGGCTGGAGTGCAATGGCACGATCTCGGCTCACCGCAACCTCTGTCTCCTGGGTTCAGGCAATTCTCCTGCCCCAGCCTCCTGAGTCGCTGGGATTACAGGCACGCGCCACCATGCCCAGCTAATTTTTTGTATTTTTTTTTTTTAGTAGAGACGGGGTTTCACCATGTTGACCAGGATGGTCTCGATCTCTTGACCTCGTGATCCACCCGCCTCGGCCTCCCAAAGTGCTGGGATTACAGGCTTGAGCCACCGCGCCCGGCCTATTTCTTTCTTTCTTTATGGCTGTGTTGTATTCCGCGGTGTGTATTTTCTACATTTTCTTTATCGAGTCCACCGTTGAGGAACACCTAGGTTGCTTCTGTGTCTTTGCTATTGTGAATAGTGCTGTGGTGAACATACAAGGGCACGTGTTTTTTTGGTAGAATGATTTACTTTCCTTCGGGTGTACACCCAGTAATGGGATTGCTGGGTCAAATGCTAGTTGTGTTTTTAGTTATTTGAGCAATTTCCAAACTGCTTTTCACAGTGGCTGAACTAATTTACATTCTGACCAACAGTAGGTAAGCATCCCCTTTTCTCTGCAGCCCTTCCAGCATCTCACAAGCAAGTTTTGAAGTGTAAAACAAAAGTAAAGGGCCGGGCGCGGTGGCTCAAGCCTGTAATCCCAGCACTTTGGGAGGCCGAGGCGGGTGGATCACGAGGTCAAGAGATCAAGACCATCCTGGTCAACATGGTGAAACCCCGTCTCTACTAAAAATACAAAAAATTAGCTGGGCATGGTGGCGCGTGCCTGTAATCCCAGCTACTCAGGAGGCTGAGGCAGGAGAATTGCCTGAACCCAGGAGGTGGAGGTTGCGGTGAGCCGAGATCGCGCCATTGCACTCCAGCCTGGGTAGCAAGAGCGAAACTCCGTCTCAAAAAAAAAAAAACAAAAAACAAAAGTAAAACAGACTTTAGTGCATGTAATGTTTTGATGAAAATCTATATATATATATTGGATACCAGTATTTGAAACCATATTTCTCATGTATGGTTTGTAGGAATAACTAGGAATGTTGTAAACAGAAATCTTAAAAAAAAAAAAAAAAAAAAAAAAGTAACGCTCTGAGTTACTCTCCACCTATTGGCTTAAGAGTTTGAAGTGATTGGGCAAAGATAAAAAGCATCAACATGAGGAAGAAACATTTTCCCAGTCATTTACTCATCTTTAAAATATTTTTTAAAGATGGAGATGAAGATGATGAAGAGGAAGAGGAAAATGAAGCTGGTCCACCTGAAGGATATGAGGAAGAGGAGGAGGAAGAGGAAGAGGAGGATGAGGATGAGGATGAAGATGAAGATGAAGCAGATTCAGAGTTGGGAGAGGGAGAAGAGGAAGTGGGTCTCTCATACTTAATGAAAGAAGAAATTCAGGTGAATACACCCTACTTACCTGCACTGAAAATTAATTTCTAGGCATAGGGCTAAGTACTATATAAAGTATCTTTTGTAGCAATCTGAGAATTGTTTCTAAGTTGTGAGTGTGCAAATGTCTATCCACCTGTCTTTTTTCTCATTGTCCTCCATTCCAGACTATATCCAGATAATCATAAACACCTATTGATTTTACCTCCCAGGTAACTTTCAAATCCGTTATAGCCTCAATGGCATGGTATGGTGGAAACATTTTACAAATGTCTGTGAACCTCAGCTTCTTCATCTATAAAGCAGATTAGGCCGGGCGTGGTGGCTCACACCTGTAATCCCAGCACTTTGGGAGGCCAAGGTGGGCAGATCACTTGAGGTCAGGAGTTTGAGACCAGCCTGGCCAGCATGGGTAGGGAAACCCTGTATCTACTAAAAATACAAAAATTAGCCAGACATGATGGCACACACCTGTAGTCCCAACTACTCAGGAGGCTGAGGCCTGAGAATCATTTGAACCCAGGAGGTAGAGATTGCAGTGAGCTGAGATCATGCAACTGCACTCGAGCCTGGGCAATAGAGCAAGACTTGTCTCAAAAAAGAAACAAACAAAAAACCAGGTTATATCAATGTCTTAGGATTAAGGATTTAACAAGATAATCGCTGGGCGTGGTGGCTCACGCCTGTAATCCCAGCACTTTGGGAGGCTGAGGTGTGTGGATCACGAGGTCAGGAGATTGAAACCAGCCTGGCCAACATGGTGAAACCCCATCTCTACTAAAAAGAAAAAAGAAAAAAAAAAAAATTAGCCGAGCATGGTGTCGGTTGCCTGTCATCCTAGCTACTTGGGAGGCTGAGGCAGGAGAATTGCTTCAACCCAGGAAGCAGAGATTGCAGTGAGCCGATATCACACCACTGCGCTTCAGCCTGGAGACAGACTGAGACTCCGTCTCAAAACAAAACAAAACAAAAAACAAGATAATGTATGTATAGAATGTAGACCCTGGCACATTATAGGCACTCAAGAAACTTGTTTCTTTCTCTTAATTATCTCTTGTGTATACTTTTGTAGCAGCTTTCTAAATAGTCTCTCTGAATACAGCATCACCACTTAGGAGTATTCTCCACAGTGCTGTCTGTTTAGTCGAATGCAAATGTGATTATACACTAGCCTTCCTGAAACCCTTGAATGTTTCCCTGTTGCCCCCAAGACATACAAGGCCCTTCATTTCTACCCTTTGTTTCCTCCTCTGCCACAGAGTTTCACTCTCCTGTCCAGGCTATTACGCATTGGTACAATCTTGAGTCACTGCAACCTCTGCCTCCCAGACTCCCTAATAGCTGGGACTACAGGCATATGCCACCAGGCCCAGCTAATTTTTGTATTTTTCATAGAGACAGGGTTTCACCAAGTTGGCCAGGCTGGTCTCGAACTCCTGACCTCAAGTGATCCACCCACCTCAGCCTCCCAAAGTGCTGGGATTATAGGCGTAAGCCACTATGCCCAGTTAATTTTTTGTATTTTTAGTAGAGACAGTTCACTCTGTTGGTCAGGCTGGTCTCAAACTCGTGGCCTCAGGTGATCTACCCTCCTTGGCGTCCTAAAGTGCTGGGATTATAGGAATGAGCCACTGTGCCCTACCAGAACGTTAAGTGTTACAAGTATTCATAGAGAAAGTTAAGCTGTTTAGTTTATACTAGTGTACAATTTCAACATTTTTCTCCTTTAAGTTTTTATTTGGTAAAAATAGTGGATTGTATTCTTTTGCACTTGGTTTTTATTTTCTTTGCTAGTAATTCCTCCGTAAGTCTATGTAGTATTAAGTAATTTGTTTGTTTGTTTGTTTTTTGAGACGGAGTCTTGCTCTTGTTGCCCACGCTGGAGCACAATGGTGTGATCTTGGCTCACTGCAACCTCTGCCTCCCAGGTACAAGTGATTCTCCTGCTTCAGCCTCCCGAGTAGCTGGGATTACAGACATGGGCCACCATGCCCGGCTAATTTTGTATTTTTGTAGAGATGGGGTTTCTCCTTGTTGTTCAGGCTGGTCTGAGACTCCTGACCTCAGGTGATCTGCCCTCTTCGGCCTCCCAAAGTTCTGGGATTACAGGCATGAGCCACTGCACCTGGCCTAGTATTAAGTAATTTAAAAATGGGCTTGGTGGCTCACAACTGTAATCCCAGCACATTGGGAGCCCGAGGCAGGTGGATCACCTGAGGTCAAGAGTTCAAGACCAGCCTGGCTAACATGGTGAAACCCTGTTTCTACTAAAAATACAAAAAATTAGCTGTGTGCAGTGGTCCACACCTGTAATCCCATCACTTTGTGAGGCCGAGGCGGGCAGATCACCTGAGGCTGAGAGTTCGAGACCAGCCTGACCAATGTGGAGAAACCCCATCTCTACTAAAAATACAAAAAATTAGCTGGGCGTGGTAGCACATTCCTGTAATCCCAGCTACTTGGGAGGCTGAGGTAGGAGAATTGCTTGAACTTGAGAGGTGGAGGGTGCAGTGAGCCAAGATCCCGCCATTGCACTCTAGCCTGGACAACAAGAG